TGTATTTCCCTTTTCTAACATCTAGTATCTTTCTCCACTGACAGAATCATTTTTAAGATAGGTGTCAATTACTCCATTATTCTAAAATAAATACAAGACACATCATTTGTAAGTTAAAATTACAAACACTATCACATATATAGAATTTTGCACAAGAAGATTTTACCATGAAGATGTAGGAGAACTGTTTATATCGTTCAAACACAAAAACACAGAAGAACATTTTGGAGATAACTGAATTAAAGTGTAAGCACAAGAAACCCACAAAACTGACAAAATGAGTTTTGTACAAATATTACTTAGATAAGTTTTACTCTTCCAAATTTTTTAGTAATACTGGCATTATATATGATCAATTGAGTTCATGTCTTGTTATCATATAATGTTTTAAGAGATAAATTGTGTTAAAGACAATGAATTTATTTTGAGAGTTAGAAAATTTGGCAAAATAAACTATAACTTGTTGAGTACAGGCCCATTAAATTGTAGTTTTATTAAGAAATAAAATTCTGCTTTCTTGATTTCACTGAAACTTTGCACCTGCCTATTTTTGATGTGCGAATTTTCAAGTAGACTATGCTCATTTTTACTACAGGAAATAATTCAAGTTACTTTGGTGTTAAAATGTTGCATGCGAGTGATTTTATTGTATGTTTTGATTTCCTGAATAACTTACATTGATAGTGATTACTTATGTAAACAGTAAAATTCTTAATGTAATTTCTAAAAATTGGTTGATATTCTTTGACTGTTTAAGTAAATGAACCCTATTAATAGGCATTTTAACACTCTGAGGACTTTCAAATCATTAGTTTTTACTAGTACCATACAGCTGGAGTTAAGTTACTTTTAAAATCAAAGAATAAAATTTTCCCTTAAATTTAATAAATATTAAATATTACTAATTCCATTAGAATACATGTTCTCAGTGTAAAAAGCAATGTAACTTACTCTGAAAAAATAATCAAGTAATTCCTTAATAGCTATCACATTGTTAGTTCAGTATCCAAATGCACCAGAGGATTTCATGTTTGTTTTAAACAATCACTAATATTTTGTGGTTTATTTCTTGAACTGATTTGACAGTTGCCTGAAAAACAAGTACATATACTATGACTAATTAAAAGTTACTGACTTTGAACAATCATTTCTTTTTTTAAATTTTTAATACACAGGTTGAACTCCAAAATATATTCCTATAAATGCCTAGTTTATATAAGAAGGTAGAAGCAACAAAAAGTAATAGTTACTTGCTTAAGAAATGTGTCTTTGTAATTGAACAATGCTTCATTACTTTTTTCTTAACATTTGACTTGCTCATCTATCTGCTCACTTTCAAATGACAAAGAAAATCTTAATGTATATTCAATAACACCTTGGAAATACTATCATATTAATACCTCTATTTGCATTAAATTCTAAAGAAATTTATTTAATTAAAATAAAATGGTAGCAGAATCTGTTTCCTGAACTTCTTTTCTTTCATTTTCAATTTAAAGGCAACTGTTATCGAATTATTGAGTAGAATGATGCACTTTTCTTTGCACTTCCATTGTTAGAAGAAAGTTAAAAGAAATAGGTACAAGAGAAATAGATGAAAGCTATGAGAAACTAATATGCATTAAAGGCTGGGGTGAATCAAATGCACTACCTCTGCTTATTTGAGGGCAATGTCTTGATTAAATTATAGAGTGAATACTCTGACAGATTATCTTCAGAATGGTTTCACTAATGAGGTTTTGAGTTGCATAACCCTATTCTAGAAATGGTAATTCAATTCTGTACAGTTCTTTGTGAAAGGATTTTGTGTGTCTCTACCAGTTCTTTTTAAACTGGAAAAATTTAAATTGCATTTGAAAGGAGACAACTAGCATATTTACTCATAAAGACCATAATGCTCTATAGATTCTGAAGTATTGAAAGATATAGCCTTCCCTTCTACAGAATTCTTCAAATTCGTATTGCTAAGATGTATCATAAGATATATTTCATTTTTAAATTGAAAAATCAGTTACAGGTATTTGTTCCTGGATTACACTTTAAAAAAATAAGGTCATGTTTAATCTAAACATTAAAATATCAACACATACATGTTGATATTTATATGTAATGAGATATATGTGTAGGTAAAAGCCCTTTTTACTTTTATTTTAATAAAGCTGTACCTATGCAAAGGATTTTAACTTCTGTTGCATATCCGTTTTTGTAATCATATGATAGCATAAGATATATGACTTGGAATCTGATAGAGCTACAATAATTCTTAAGAATTAATGCTGATTTTTATAAAAGTCATGCTATTAAACATTTCACTTATGTAGGAATCTATACAAAATAATACAAATTTATGTATTACATAATTTTTCCAGCTTTATATTTCAGTCTTTTAATAGAAAAATTATGTATTTTTAGTGTGTTATATATTTAAATTATAGCAATCGTAACTAATGTTGATATTGTTTGTCCCTATCCCTTTTAACTCCTATTTTCCCAGACAAACGTAGTATCCTGAATTTGGCATTAATCATTATCATGCATATTTTATGATTTTATTATATATGTTTTCCCAATCATGCACAATTTGAAATTGTTTTACTTAGAAAACTGGTATCCTTATTATGATATTTTAAAAACTTTACTAGAACTGACAGAATAGTAGTAGAATTAAAACTGGCTAAGCTGCTGCTAAGACTTCAATCTTTAAAATTGATTTGGGGGAAATGAAAAGCTCTCTATGTAACAGTGGTTATGAAGTGTTTCATTTTTTCATGACCTTTGTTTCCCACTTGTATAATCATTTATACGGAAATTCATTAGTTGGCTCTTGAAAGGAAGAACTAAGGGCTATATAAGTAGCCATGGGTTAATTGGATAACTGTGGTAATTTGAAAGCTTATACATGCTGACTTTGCAATTATTAATAATACATGAAGCTTAGTATAGATAATGCCTTCCTTCGTATGGGAGGTAAGTGAGAATAGCAGCTTCCAATAAATGGAGAATGGGGGCTTACATCCTTAGATGTAAGTGTATCCAATCAGGAAAATTACTTTAATCACTGTCTCAGTTTCCTTACAAAATGCCAAGGTATTGTCAGTATTACATGAGGATACCAATTAATCAGTATTAATATGCTATCTTACATAAATTATTGCAGTTAATGTGAATTTCATACATTTTATGCTTTCAGAAGCAATAAATTAGTTGCTAGTTCATTGACTTTGACACTTTAGACTTAATGAATTTTTGTTTCTATCATGTATTTGAATAAGTAATTTTTTGAGTGAGTGAGGCATGATGACATTTCTTATTAAATATTTTGGTTAGCTTGCTTTTTTTTTAATAGGTCTAAGTTAATTTCTTCCTTTGCTTTCTAAATGTCCAATTACCTATATTAATCCTCTTATTTTGAAATTTATTTGAACTCAAGCAAAATATAAAAATTGCACATATTGGTGGACTATTATGTGATGTTTTAATACTTGCATAGTGCCATATTGTTTGAAGTTTGAATCAGGTTAAAGTATCTGTCTTCTAAAACACTGACCATATATTTAATGTGAAGATATTCAGAATTCCTTCTTTTAGTTTTGTTCATATATACAGTGCATAACTGTTATCAACTGTTTTTTTTTTTCTATAATAATATCTGGAGTCGTTTCTGGTTCTTGCAACTCTTTCTGATAACAGTTTGGGGACCAGGAGCTCACCACAGAGCAGGTGGATTTACTCACTCCATCTGAAGTGAGTGACTTCAGAATGGAATTTGATAATGAAACTCTAGCAGTGACCTGGCACCTCTTATTTTCTCTTATCACATGTAATGAAGCAAACCGGATAAGTCTTAGCGGATTCACTGGTTTCTGCAATAGGCTAGATTGAGATTACTGAGGGCGACAATATCTATATTGGATGGGTGCAATGCTTTGGATGGTTCTGAATTACTTACAGTTTCAAGTGTTTGGTTTAGGGGCAACCAGAAAATCTCTTCTGTATTATAGCTATGGGGTTATTATAGTTGAAAATCTGACAGAATCAACTCAGCACTGCTAGATTGTAAGGTAGCATTTATATATTACAATATACAATGACTATGTTCTGATGTGTAGCAGTCTGTGGTATTGATGGGAGAAAATGTAAGGCCTAGAAAGCTGCAATGAAACCAAGGAGAAAGTTTCATATAAATCTAAGCACTGGTGTCTCCTCATCCTCAAAACTCACTAACTCCCCCTTACCAGAAAAAGAGCCCTTTCTGCCTATCTGTGAAGACAGACTTGCCTTCTTGGAGACTTGCAGATCCTGTTCCAAAACATTCACTCCACACCCTGGTCTAGAGCTCTTCATTACTTTTAAGGCAAAGATGGGATTTAATTCCCATATGTCAAAACCATGACACACAACCCAGGAAGAGAAGCTTTACTACACTTTGGTGATTAAATTAACAGAAATCTGGAGAATATCAAGGAGATATAATTCTAAATGTGCTAGACCAGAAAAGAAGAAAAATGAACACAGATTCCCAGTCAAGGGCTAGTTACAGCAGCTGGAAATGGTTCTCATTGTGTTCTTGATTTCAGCTGACACCTAAATTCAAATGATGTTTTCAGTAAATAAAGTGTAGATGTCAGAAATTCTTTTAAAAAAGAGAGAGGGTAATTCATGTGGTTACAAAGCATGTGACATGTGTCAAGTCTAAATTAAGATGTTTTTATGTGTAAAATAATGTAATAAAACATCTCAATCATACCTTTCATATTGATCGCATGTTGAAATAAAATCTTGGCTATATTGCATTAAACAAAATATGAGTTTTGAAAACAAATTTTCATCTATTTTGATTTTGTTTAAAAATATGGCTACTAGAAAATTACACATGTAGCATTATATTTCCACTGGGAGGTTTTGATGGGAAAGATACAAACATTTGAGTGAAATTGTCATTGGTCACATACTTACCCATCTTCAAACTCTACTTTTTTTTTTTTTTTTTTTTTTTTTAGGCTGAAACATGCCCTCTAGCAAAACCTTTGGAACTACTAGCACTCCAGAAGAGGACTTCCACACTTTGGGGATATACTGTAGAGTTTCCCTCTGTGATCTACGGATGCATTTAGAAAGCATTGTTTCTGAAATCGTCTACTAATTTCACTGTGGGCAATAGGATAATGAAGTGGCCAAAGCCAGTGATACCAGTTGTCAGAGAAAAAGTGAATATGGTTTTTAACATAATTGATAACCTTCCAAGTTTATTTTGAAGTGATACTGATCACACCTCTCTGGGACTGAAGTAGCTGTCTTGTACCATAATTGAATTAAGTTTTGAATAAAAGAAATGAATGGTAATGAAGAAAGGCCTGACTCAGGCATATATGGGAAAACAATAGTGCATCACACAAATACCAGATTATGCGCCCCACACATCAGATGGCTTGCAGCTGTGCTTAACTAAAGGAAGGGAAGAGTGGTCATGAAAAGAACAACATAATGTCACTGTACTATAACTTGAAGAAAGAGAAACACAAACTATTGATTCTGCTAAGACTAAGAGATCCACACAACTACTGCTAATACTTAAAGATCCATGTAACTATCTTAATTATATCTGCTTGTGTGCCTGAAACTCTATTTTATAATAATTTTGCCCTGTGTGGTGTGTGCATGTGTGTGTCTGTTGAACACAGGGTCCTTGTACTGAACTGAATCCCCAACCCTATTTTTATTTATTTATTTTTAGACAAGTTATTGCTAAGTGCTAAGTTCTCTGAAGTGGACTTGAATCTAGTTCTTTCGCCTCAGACTTTGAGAGTCCTGGGATTACAAGTTGCCACTATATCCACTCATCTTATTGACAGTTCTTGAATGTATTGTCAAATCAACAACTAGCAGAAAAATATTTAGATTCTCTGCACTGGTTTTTATAAGTAGGCTATCCTTAGAATTCCCATTCTATTTAAAATAAGAACTAAAATGACATACCCTACCTCTGTGAAAACATAAGTCAATTAGTGCCTACCTAAAAGATTGAAATATATACTGAATAATTCTTTATGCTTAGTTCCCATTAAATTTACACCTGTGGTCTGTTAGCAGACTCAGGACAAAAAGAATGAAAATGACTACTGATTACAAAATCAAGTGGTGAATTAAATTTTGAAGACTTTTAGATATTGTTTTTCTGCTACAGAAAATCAACAGAGACCTTGATCCATTGAATGTAGTTACTATTCTAGAAAATCATATTCTTTTTTTCAAGAGCAAAGTCCTAGAATAATTTATCTTTCATCCTACAAGCACACTTGCAGGACACATTCACTATCTTACCCAAGGTCTCCACCAGTTCTTTTCTGTGTTTATTCCAATGAGATACTGATCATTTCACTGCTACCAAGTCATCTTTTGTTTGTTTGAGTGTGTGTGTGTGTGTGTGTACTGGGAATTGAACTCAGGATCTCATGCGTGCTAACTAAGCAGGAGCTACAACACTGAGCTATACCCCTGGTCCCCAAGTCATCATCTTTATCCACTTGATTGATAAAATCATGCTCACAGATCTTGGTGACCAGTAAGTAGCAGTCACTGGACATAGTTTTAAAATGCACAGGCATTTCAGAAAAAATGAGGAAAATGTCATAGCATTTAGATATCTGTGTACTGTCTCTTTGAGTTTTGGGGAGCCCAGTCATGTCAGGATATTTTCTCCCATGTGAAGGACAGTTAGCTGCTCCTTGACACACATTTTATGGCAAAATCTTTGGATTTTATAGAAAATATGTACCACATGTGGTTGGCTATTTCTTTCTTTTTAAGTACCTGACCCCTAAGTCTACCACTTTTGAATGTGACCTTGCAGAATAAGAGAAGACTCTTTTATTGGTACAGCACAGTAAAAAGCTTCTCTATTATTGGGATATATTTGAGATATACATACACATCAGGGAATTGTGTTGTACTGGGATATGGCTTTCTGGAAAAATTTGATAGCAGAATCACTGATCCCTAAGGATTAAGAGAAAAGCAATGACAATTTTTTGGAAAATTATCTCCTTTTCAACTGCTACTTTTGTCTTGCCAAAAGAAATGATTGAAATGCTAATCAAGAGACCCCAGATTTCCAACAAATCATGCAAACGCTGTTACCTGGGTGATGTTTATTCCTTTAGCACATAAAGTTAAGCACCCATATAAGCAGGACAATTTCAAGCAGAATTGCAAAAATGACTAAGATCAGACTCAAGTAGGTATTGAAAGTACAAAAGTGTTGCATGAAGGACAATCAAAAGAGTAAAATCTTACTATGGGAAGAAAATTGAGAGGTGAAACTGGTCCTCTATTTTAACTAAAAGATCTAGATTGATTCAAGGAAAATGGCTCAAGTATTGGGTGATTGGGGTTTTAGAAAAGAGAATTTTGAAGAATATATACCAATAAAATCTATCCAAGTTATATGAGATAGATCTTTTGAAGTGACTCCAAGATCGTAGCATCCTGGATGAACACTTATATATAAATTTTTATTGTACAGATGACTTTTAAGAAAAAGGTGACAATAAAAGTTAGATGTCATTTAGGTTCTTCTTCCACCATTCCACTGCTTGAAAAAATGGTTCATGAACAATGTATACAAGGATACAGATGTTGGGTTGATATATAATTACTTTAAAAGTGGACTGGTCACATATACTGTTGAGAAGTCAGTCTGTCCATAATACACAATAATATTGAGGCATCACCATGCCGCAATAGACCACTGTGTCTATCTAGGAAAACTGGAAAATTGTTGGGCTTTTTTCATCATGAGATAGACAGCAGTGACTTCCTCACTAGAACAGATGTTCTATGAATGAAAAGTCTTTCCTTCCACCATGCTTTTGCTAGACCTCTGCATTTGTTAAATACCTTGCTCTATATCAGGTTATCATCTATAACACTATCTGAACAAAAATTATTGTTTTTTATCCAGAAGTGAATAAAAAGATGGAATATAGGCAGCTGCACCAGTGGAATGATCAACTGACTATTCCATTATGCCACATCGAAGTGTTGTATGAGATTAAATTCCTTTCCTCCAAGATGTAGAGCCAATGACATATGTCTTTCTTTGTACATTCTTAGTCTAGTACTGATTTGTTTTGTTCACTAAATAGTTTTCATTCTTTCTCCTCTGATGGCTATGGAAGGATTGTAATTCCCAATTCTGTTGAATTTAGGAGGGAACATGTGGTTTTACTTAGATGAACAGAAGTCACTTCTGAGCAGAAGCTTTTAAGACCAATTCACAACGCTCTTGCTGATGTAGTCAGGGAAGACTGTGTCAAGATGACACATCTCTTAGGCTGGGGAACACAGTTCATCCAACACAAGAAGCCTAAGTGAAAAACACATTTCTGTTGTGTATTGCTATGGCTTGTTACCACAGCATCACCTATTACTGTATTACAATTAGTTATAATACCAACTTGTACCGTATTCATTAGTTTCTTTACGTAGAATTGACACGTAGTTTGATAATTTTCCAGTTTTTAAGATTTTAAAATTTGCATTTCGCTTTTCTTCCAATATGGTACTATAAATGCAGGAGCTTAATACTTAAAACAGACCAGTGTAGATGGAGGAAATTACTTAACTTTTATATGTTGAAGTGGTGGCAAAGATATATTTTAAACATTACAAGTCAGTTTTACACTTCTTTGATATACAAAAATATAAGTAACTTCAATTTCTTTTCTAATTACAGATTTTTAACTATTAATAACATTGCTAGAATATCATTAAAATTCCTTATTATCTAATTTACTTATTCATAATTTAAAAAATTTTTATGATAAACTAAAGCTTTCACTTGTACTGTGTGAATCTCTTATGGAAAGTATGTGTTTTTTAGAACACTAAATATCCCAAGATACATTATTTTTTCATGTTTGTAAAACAATATATGCACTTCCAGTAGTCAATAAACAATGTGCACTTTTTTCAGAATGTCCTTTAAAATCATTGATTATTATATATTCAATCTCTGGGCTGTGTCTGACCCTATAAAGTGTTGATTCAAAACCCCATTTCACTTGTTCTGGTGACAAAGGCCATAATCTGTGAACTGTTAAATAACCCCTAATATTTATGCCATGCTTGGTTAAACAGGAAATGGGCCACTTCACTATAAATAATGCACAAGTCTACTTTAATGACACACCACAGTGCCACCTTTGCATTTATTGATTAGTAGGCATGAAAGTGAAATATTTTAAAACCTTACGTGGCTTTGTAGTACTGTATTTAGAGATAATAAGGAGAAAGGGAATCAATATGTTTCTTTCCTGAAACTCTGTTTTAAGAGTTTTTGAGTCATTTAAGAAAATCACTTATACAATTTAAATAAAAAATGATATATGATATAAGCAGAAACTATTATGAGAGATTTTAATTTGTTGACTGCATCATTAATAAAAACATAAATTCATGTGTATGCCATAAGATCTATGGATTGTAGGATGAGTTAATTTGATAGTAATGGTCCCATATGATTGAGTACCAGCACAGATTTTATACTGACAAATTAGCTTGCAGTGGAAATTATACATTTTGGTGTCCAAAAGAGAGGGGTACATATGAATTTTAGTGACATGATGATACTATTTTGGAATTATTTCATGTTATCAAAAGTGTTTTCCAGAACTGCAGATTCTTTTTTAAAAATATATGTTAAATATTATGAGGAGAGTCTCCTATGTCATCTCTATGAAGTGAAGCAACATGTAATAAAAAACATCTAATAAGACAAATACTTTACACAGCCACGTTGAAATATTGTAACACAGGCTCCACAAACACTACCTACTGTATTTGCCTGCTAACTTTCATGGAAATTTGTCTTGCAACACTCACATCAGAGGCTTACTGGTTATTTCTTCTATATGTTTTGTGTTGCATAATAAGTATGTTTGGCTTCTTGCAATGTTCTTGCTGCTATATCCAGGATTACTAAATTCTAGACGGCCTAAACTACACTCAGTTTACATTAACTATATAAAAGTGTTCCTGGACAGATAGGCTATCGCATTTCACTCTAAGCACATTTTTTCCAGTACAAAGATCCTGCTGACTCATAGTACGGGGAGTTTCCACTCACATGTATGCACCTGTTCACACAAAGGGGAAGCAGAAATTTAAAGTAATATTTTGAACCATTCAACTTTAGAGCAAACTGTGATTTCTTCATCATGATTATCAAACAGCCACAACATCTT